TAGCTCAAGTGGTAGAGCACTCGCCTTGAGCTGAAGAGCTGAGGGACAGCGCCCAGACCCAGAGTTCAAGCCCCACGGCCGACCAAAAAAAAAAAAAAAATGAACCATATACACAGTGTGGGTGGGGTGGGGACGGAGGGAAAAAGCTGGGAGAGGGTGACATTGTCCAAAAAGAAATGTACTGATTACCTGACCTATGTAACTGTACATCATCACCCTTATAATAACAACAAAACATTTTAATTTTTTAAAAGGAAAGGTATGAAAACCAGAGAACCTCTCTCACTGTTCTATGATAGCTGTAGAAGTTCCCCACCCCTAGAGCCAGACATGGGCCGCAGCCATTGTTTGCACAGTCTCAAGTGAAAAAGAAGGCAAACACCCCAGTGTGGCTCGCTGCTTTTGCACAGGTGCTGAAGTGATCTTGGAACGATACTCAGGAAAATGCTGGGTAGTGAAGTGATAGACAGGACTGAAGAATGGGTAGTGCTTGCAATGTAATCACCAGCAAAGGGTGAAGTGTCAAGGGGGGGCTAAGTTTCCCCTCCCTTAGGCTTACACGGTACACCCCCTTTCCCTCTCTCTTTCATTGTACCAGTACCGAGGCTTGAACTCAGAGCCTGGGGTATGTCCTTTAGTTTTATTCACTCAGGGCTTGTGCTCTAGCACTTGAGCCACAGCTCCACTTCCAGCTTTGCCAGTTAATTGGAGATAAAGGTTTCATGGACTTTCCTGCCCAAGTGTGAACCATATTCCTCAAGTCTTAGCCTCCTGAGTAGTCAGGATTACAGGCCAAGCCTCTTTGCTTTTTCACATGCTCTGTCCCTTTCTTCTGCTATGTTATGAAGGCCCTCACCAGGTACCACAGCAGTGCCCTTGTGGCCAACTTCCAGAACTATGAGCAAGGAGCTGAGAATGTGGCTTAGTGCTAGAGTGCTTGCCTAGCATGCATGAAGCCCTAGGTTCGATTCCTCAGTACACATAAACAGAAAAAGCTGTTAAGTGGTGGTGTGGCTCAAGTATTAGTCTAAAGCAAAAGAAGCTCAGGGACAGTGCCCAGGCCCTGAATTTAAGCCCCAGGATTGACAAAACAAAAACAAAAACCAAACAAAACCCACACAACTATTGTGTCATAACAAAGAAAATGAACTAGAGATGTCTTAGCATAAGAAAAACCTGATGTTAGACTTCAGGAAAAGAAGAATCCCTTAGGGACAGCCTCAGACCTGTCAAGACCAAAAAAAAAAAGAATCTAGAGTAGGTTGCTGGTTGTACAGCATTTGCCAGGTGTGTGCCAGACCCTGGGTTTCATCACAAGCACTATCAAACAATTATTTTTTAAAAAGCCAGGCACTGGTGGCTCACGCCTGTAATCCTAGCTACTCAGGAGGCTGAGATCTGAGCATCAAGGTTCAAAGCTAGCTTGAGTAGGAAAATCCCTGAGACTCTTATCTTCAGTTAACCACAAAAAGAGCAATAAAGCGGGGCACTGGTGGCTCATGCCTATAATCCTAGCTACTCAGGAGGCTGAGATCTGAGGATCACAGTTCAAAGCCAGCTTAGGCAAGAAAGTCCATGAGACTCTTATTTCACGTAAACCACTAGAAAACCCCAAGTGGTGCTATGGCTCAAGTAGTTGAGTGCTCACCTTGAGCTGAAGAGCTGAGGGATAGCACCCATGCCCAGAGTTCAAGCCCCATGACTAACAAAAAAAAAAAAAAAAGTGGGACTGTGGTTCATGAGATAAGAGTGCTAGCCTTGAACACAAAAGCTCAGGAAAAGCACCCAGGCCCTGAATTCAAGCTCAAGGATTGGCAAGCAGCAACAATAATGAAAGAGAAAGAAAGGAAAGAAAGGAAGAAAGAAAGGAAGAAAGGAAGGAAGGAATAAAGAAAGAGAGGAAGGGAGAGAGGAAAGGAAAGAGTAAGAGGAAGGAGAGAGGGAGCAGGAGAGAGAAAAGAAAAGACAATCAAGAAGTGCTGACTAACATGGGAAAAATAGCCAGATTCTGCTGTGGAGCAGTAATAACTTGAAACTATTGACACTCCTTCCCCTTGGCCAAAGACATCCCTCTGTTATTGGGGCACTGACCAATGAAAATCATTTTTGTTTTCACTTGGTCCTCAACCTAAGGTCCACAGGCTTTTTCCGGTCCCCAAGCAAGGTTTGGGTTTCAGTGTGTAGTAAGCTCTCTTTTGATGGCTCCAATTCTTAACATAAAGAATGAAGAGAACTTCTTAGACTCCAGTAGGAGAGTTATTTATGAACATAGCAGCTGAACTAGGTTTAGAAATAAATGAGCCATCAGATAGCACCTTGAGTTACTCCATCACACCGCCTCTTAAACGCCGATTTCCTCTGTGCCGTGCTAGACCATGTGTGGACATTAAACTTGAGACCTGTGTTTTCTCACTGACTGCCTTAGCAGGCTGGGCCGGTCCAGAGTTGTTGTGGGGGAAAGATGGAGACATTTTGGTGATTTATGAATGTATGGATGTTAAGGAGTAAAAAGAGCAATGGAAGCCAAAGACATCCTTAGTGGGCTCTCAAAATCTTCTGTGAAGAAATTATCCAAGGTGCCAAAAGGGAGCAAATGTTTTGTACCTGGAAAGAAACAGTGAAAAGCTGGGAGCCAGTGGCTCACGCCTGTAATCCTAGCTACTCAGGAGGCTGAGATCTGAGGATCAAGGTTCAAAGCCAGTCAGGGCAAGCAAGTCCATGAGACTAGTATCTCCAATAAGCCACTAGAAAACTGGAGTGCAAGCCCATAGTTCAAGCCCCATGATCAACAAAGAAGAAGGAAGGAAGGAAGGAAGGAAGGAAGGAAGGAAGGAAGGAAGGAAGGAAGGGGAAAGAAAGAAAGGAAGGAAAGAAAGAAAGAAAAGAAAAGAAAAGAAAGAAACAGTGAAGGATACACATTCAGTTGGGTTACACATGTTCCATTAAATCTTCTTCCCAGTAACCATCTCCTTCATCATCAGAGTAAATAAACACCTTGGGTTGGAGGCATGGCTCAGTTTGTAGAGCACTAGCCAATGAGTGAAAGCATCAGGTACTGAGTTCAAGTGTGAGCATCCAAAAGAAGGAAGGAAGGAAGGGAGGGAGGGAGGGAGGGAGGGAGGGAGGGAGGGAGGGAAGGGAGGGAGGGAGGGAGGGGGCTGAGAAGGTGGATCAGTGGTAGAGTGCTTGCCTCAAATGCATGAGGTCCTGGATTTGATTCCTCAGCACCACATAAACAACAACAACAAAAAAAGCCGGAAGTGGCACTGTGGCTCAAGTGATAGAGTGCTCGCTTTGAGCTGAAGAGCTGAGGGACAGCACCCAGGCCTAGAGTTCAAGCCCCACTACCGACCAAAAAAAAAGGCGGGGGGGGGGGGGGGGGAGGAAGGAAGAAGAGAGGGAGGGAGGGAGGGAGAAAGGAAGGAAGGAAAAGAAACACCTTGTAAAATACTATAGTCAGGCATCCCAATTGGTTCCAGGATGAAATTCCTCCCTGTTCCAAGAGTTGTATTAAACTTTTCCAGTACTTGCTTTGTTGCTCTTTCTTTCCTATTGTGTATTTGTAGAATGGGAATGGGGGCTTTATATATATATTTATCTATCCTGTTGGATAGTTCTGTAACTGCACAGGGATACTAGCCAAGGGCCTGGGGAAATTCCCTAATGAGTCACAAGGAGACTGGGGTTAACCATAAGATTCTAGTTCAAGGTGGGTCTAGGAATTCTGAGACGGCTAAACAAAGGCTGCAGGAACACGGCGGGGGGGGGGGGGGGGGAGGTTACTGATTATTCCCCAAGGGAAGTATCAGTGCGGCCACACTTTTCAGCGCGGTCCTCCGCCTGCCAGGCTACCTTGCTGTACCCCAGCCCGAGCCCGTTCCCAGGTTCTGACGCCGAGCCAGCTCCGGAGTTGGGCGCTCCACCGCCTGTGGGCGTGGCCTCGGCGTGGCCAGGATCCCGGGCCGGCAAAGTTGGCAAGGCGTGCGCTGCGAGGAGCGTGGAAGTTAGGCATTACCGCGTGCCTGCCCGGTGTAGGGGGTTCCCCTGAGAAAGCAGACATCATCACCTTGCAGGGGTACCCCACATCTCATCCCTCTCCATGAGACCTGGGGGGGGGGGGGCGGGCTGCTCTCTACTGAAGCCTCAGCCGCTTTATTTCAGTTGTGCAAGTCATCTATCTCCTCGGATCTGTACGTGGGGTGGGTACAGGGGCTTGAACTCAGGGCCCCGTGCTCTTGCTTGGCTTTTTCCCGCTGAAGGCTGGTATTCTGCTCTACCACTGGCACCGTAGCTCCACTTCCGGCTTTATGCTGGTTACTTGGAGCGACGTTTCTGCCCAGGATGGCTTTGGAGCCCTCAGCTCTCTGCCTCTTGAGCAGCTAGGATCCGACGGGAGCCGCAGCGCCCGGCTTTCCCCGTACCATCATCGAGGCCACCCGAGCTCCACCGCCACTTCCCCGCTAGCGGAACCGCCCTCCCGCCCGCCGCACCCCACGACCCGCTCTCCTCCCCCTCCCGGCCCCGTTTCCCGGCCGAAAATAACGCGAGCGGCTGGCTTTCCGCAGCGGGGTCGCCCCGGGGCGTGCGGGGGGAAGCTCGGGGCTGCCCGTGCGCGCCGGGCTGTGCGCGCAGCCGAACCCGGGCCCGGGAGCAGGAAGGGCGTGCGCCCGCCCCAGGGGCTGCAGCCAGCAACGTTTTCTCCTCGGAATTCTTGGCCCAGAGCCTAGGAACCACAATCTGCCCAAATGTGTGTGCTCAGAAACCACAGAGCCGCCCGCAGCCCGGGGGGGGGGGGGGGGGAAGTGGGGGAGGGGAGGAGGCCGGGGGCCGCGGAGGAGGGGGGAGGGAGGAGGGGGCCGGAGACCTGTAGGGGGAGGAGGGGGGAGGGGGAAAGGAGAGGAAAGGGGGGGGAGAGAAGGGAAGGAGGAGGGGAGGAGGAGGGAGCCGGGGACTCGTGAGGGTGGGGGAGGGAGAGGGAAGGTTCCCCCTGGGGAGGGGACGGGAGGAAGAGCGGTGGCCCGGGAAGAAGGAGGGAAGGAGAAGGCAGAGGTAGGAGGAGGGGCGAGGGAGCAGCGGGGGAGGGGAGAAGGGAAACGGAGGTGAGGGAGGGAGGGAGGGGTGGCGTGGGGGGGGGGGTGCCAGAGTCCTCCGCGGCCGCCGCGGTGCGAGTTCCTCACTTTATCTAAAGCCTGCGAATCGCAGGGCGACCGAACCCCGCAGCGGGAGCGGGGTCCCGGGCTCCCGGGGCGGCCGGGGCCCCCTCCGCCCTCCACCGCCGGGGCCTCCTCCGCCCCCCGCTCCCGGGCCTCCTCCCCCCCACGCCCGGGCCCGCCGGGACCCCCCCCCGCCCCGCCGCGGCCCCTTTCGGGACCCCCCCCCGCCCGCCCCACCGCGGCCCGTTCGGGAAGCCCCGCACACGGGTGGCCGCGCAGCTGGGGAGCCCGGCGGGTAGGCTTCCGGGAGAGAGAAGCCTGTCTTCCGCGAACTCCGCCGCGCTCTGTTTTACGGTGGAAAAACTACACTAAAAACTAAACCCATAGCCGTGAAACGCAGCGAGACGAGGACCGGCCGGCTGCCCTTCCCGGAGGCTTCGGGCGAGCTGGGGTTGAGACCGGCAGTGTGGGACCTCGCGGGCCCGCGTCCGCCCCAGCCCCGCGGCGCAGGCCTCCGCCTCGGCCGCCTCCGCCGCCTGGGTCTCGGGGCTGGGACCCCGCGCCCGGTGAGCCCACGACGGGCTGGGCTCAGGTGGGTGAGCGTCCTGTCCCTCCCGGTGTGAAACCAGTGTGTCTCTCCTTGCAGAACGTAGAGGAACAGGATATGCTTTCACTCATAACTGTTTTTCAGACCTCAGTGCTGTCCCGTTGCTGAGGGAAGTAGCAGAGTGTGGAGACACTTAAACATACCAGAGTCTCCCTAGTTCCCCTGTAAAAAATGGACATAAAGCAGTATGGCAGAAGTTGGTAAGAGCAATAACATAAAGTCGATCACTAGGAAATGTGATGTTGTGGAATGTTTGTTTTGGCTGGGAAGTGACAGGTCACCTGTTTGGGCTTCGTGTGCACCTGTGAGTGTGGACTTGGGCAGACCTGGATGGAAAGCGTCTCTGACTGTATCTCAAGAAGCTTCAGTACCAAGAAATTCATCATGGGAGGTGTGTGTGTGGGGGGGGGGGGGGGGGAGGTTGCTTGCAGCTTAGAAAAGTACCTGCGCCAACTGCAGGTTCATTTTTCTTTAAAATACACTTAAAAGCCAGGAATAACGTGCTTAAAATCACCCAGTATACTTGTTGCAGCCCAAGATAAGGGAAGTGAACTGACACAGTGGAATTTATATAAATAAATACATATATGTATATATCAGATACACTTGAATAAAATCTCAAAGCTAATGTGATGAACATTTTATTAAACTAAAGTAACAGTCATACTAGAGATATACCTTCATCTGAGCAGGATGCACAGACAAACAGATGGAAACTTTCCCTGAAAGAACGTTCTGCTGATCTTAAGGAGCATAATACTTTCTAATAGAAGGTTCCATGGGCCTGAATTTGCTTTCCAGACCTGTTTATTTGAAGGCTAGGTGTTTTTTTTTTTTTTTTTTTCTTCCTAGTACCAGTTCTGGGGCTCGAGCTTAGGGTCTGGGCACTGTCTGAGCTTTTTTGCTCAAGGATAGTACTCTTTTAACACTTGAGCCACAGCGCCACTTCCAGCTTTTTGCTGATTAATTGGAGATAAGAGTCTCACAGTTTCCCCTGGCTGGCTTCAAAGGATGATGCTCAGATCTCAGTCTCCTGAGTAGCTAAAGTGACAGGTGGCCAGCATATTTTAGATTTCTGAATTAGCTATGATTATTACAGAAATGAGACCTTTCACATGAAAAGCTGCTCTTTGGGCTTCTATTTGAAATACTAGGCCAACCTTGGCAGCTCAGTTGGCTGTGTCTGAGCAACTGTCAGATGTGGAAGGTCAATTTGTATCTTCGTAGCTTTCTCCTGCCACTTCTGTCCCTTACTTTCTATCCTGTACATGTAGGTGGGCCAGACATACATACATATACACATACATACCATACATATATACAGCTTTAACTAACATTCAGATTCTTTATTGTGATCATTCAATTCAAAGGTACCTTAGACACATTAGAGTCTGTCTACACTTAATGTACATATATATATTAAGTCCTCAAATCTTGATTTCCAGGAATGTATTTAGGCAGATCTAAGTTGAAGCTGCCAACATTTTCTGAAGAGGGCTCCCCGATTTCTGCATGTCCCTCATTACAGGGCTGTTTAGGAGGGTGTGCGGCTCAGGAATTTGATTCCTGGCTGGTTATTGCAATGTTGGGCACATCACTTGCTGTTTCCCAGCTTGTTTCTTCACATGCTAGCTAGTTATCCCCATATGAACTCTTTGGGTTATTGATGATTTGAGATATATATACACACACATATATGATTGTATATGTGTGTTTATGTGTATACATACATACTTGTGTACATCTATATCTATATTTATAAATCTTCCACAGTACTTAGCCCCCAGGAGCCATTCAGAGTAGTCCTAGTCACGTCCCTTGCCCTTGAGTTTTCAGTTACTTGAGGATATGAGGAGTTGTGGGTTTCTTCTTAAATTCTTTTTTCCACTTGTCTACAAAATCTTACATCAGTGGAGTCCAAACTGTGGTATGCACAAAACTTAGCTCGATATTTGCTTCAACCGAAGGTTTTTTGGGCCCCTCAACAGGTTTGGATTCAGGAAGTCCAAACTAGGGCCGAGGGCACTGAGGTTTTAATATTTAACTCAAGGGCAAGCGTACCCATGCTCTGCCAGTGTCCACACTGGACTGCCGTAGGTATTGAAGTGCAGAGAATCAGGAAGGAAGCCAGTGACTCCCTGTCAGGGCCTCAGCTTGTTCCAATGCCCTCTCCGGACCTAATCAGTTCACAAACAAGTATTTATTTATATATTTGTCATTTTATTATTGTAAGTTTCGTTTTATGCTGGTACTGGGGCTTGAACTAGGGGCCTTTTGCTCTTGCTCTGCTTTTTAAATCACAGCAGTTACTCTTCCAGTTGAGCCATACCTCCAGTTTGGCATTTGGGGTTGTTAATTGAGAATAGAATCTCATGGACGTTTCTACCTGGGATGGCTTTGAACAGTTACCCTCAAATCTCAGTCTCTATATAGCTAAGATTACAGGTGTGAGCTACAAGCATCTGTCCATTATTTTGTTTTTTTGAGACAGGGTTTCATTGTATAACCCTAGCTGGCTTCCAACACATGATTCTGCTTCCTTAGCCTCCCAGGTGCTGGGATTGCAGGTATGTACCACCAAACTCTGCTTGTAGACATTTATTGAGCACCTACTAGAAATACACTGAAGTACTGTAGATGCTGACATTCAAAGGTAGGTGACATGGTTCCAGTCCTCAGGAAGCCCAGAACACTGAATGCAAAGCCCTGGGCTTATCATTCTGGCTCAAGTCTCTTCCTTTCTCACCACCTATCATTTAATACCCTTTCTGGTACTATTTTCTTCCTAAAGATGCCCCTTTATTCCTTCATAGCAGCAGAACACATTTTCGTGTCTTATTACAGAATCTTGCATAATGGTTATGTCTGCACTACACATGGGCGCTGTGCATGGTATAAGAATAGTTCAGGTGCTCACTGGCTATTTGTGGAATTCAGTTTCCTTAAATAAACTTGTCTTCTAAAACAGCTTATGTTCACTTGTCAAATAATTGGGAGAATGGTCAAAGAGCCAGGCCCTGTTCTAGAAGCTGGGGTTAAAGGAATGGACAGAATTTCATTCCCTGTGCATGTAGACCTCCTGGTCAGGGAAGACAGACCACACAAACCAACAATTTGGACACCTCCTGTGTTTAATTGTTACCTGTACTGTGTCATCTGCTGAGAGTGTCTTTGCTCTGTGACTGCTCTTTCCCTGCCAAGTGACCCTCTTTCTAACCCTGTCTATGTGGTTCTCATTCACATAAGGCTTTCTCTACAGCTAGGAAACTTTCTGCTTATCCTCTTGCTTTTTGTTTGGGCATACAGTGCTGGGGATGGAAGCCAGGGCCTCCTGCATGCTAGACAAGTGCTGTATCACTGAGTTGTGCCCCAATCCTCTATTAAATTTTGAATTAATAGATCCACGTCTCTTTGGGGATTTAACCAAGATCAGGCACTGTTTTCCCCAAACCAGAAGCTTCCACAGAAGGATAACTGAGGGTGTGTGTGTGTGTGTGTGTGTGTGTGTGTGTGTGTGTGTGTGTGTGTGTGTGTGTGTGTGTGTGTGTGTGTGTGTGTGTGTTAGTGCTGGGGCTTGCATTCAGGACCTGGGCACTCTGGTTGAGCTTTTCTAATCCAAGACTAGTGCTCTACTACTTGAGCTACAGCTCCACTCCTGGTGTGTTTTTAGTGGTTAATTGAAGGTAAGAGTCACAGACTTTCCTTCCTGGACTGGTTTCAACCCATAGTCCTCAGATCTCAGCCTCTTGAGCAGAATTATAGGCATGAGCCACCAGCACCTGGCAATATTCCTTTTCTTTTGAAGCATCTACTATGCTAAATTTAAAAATTATGTTACTTTGCATTCATATTCCATGCTTTATTTTGAGTAATACTATGAATAATTTATCAGTAAAATATAAATCTTATCTTCCAGTATGTGATTTGAAAAAAATAACTTGCTGCATTCATATTGAGCTGTAGATTTTTGTTGAGTCCAATGCCTGTTGTTAGAACTATAAGCTGATTTTATCATCAGAATGAGAATGGGCTGGGTGCTGGTAGCTCACATCTGTAATCCTAGCTACTCAGGAGGCTGAGATCTGAGGATCATGGTTCAAAGCCAGCCTGGGCAGGAAAGTCCATGAGACTCTTATCTCCAATTAACCACCAGAAAATTGGGGCTGTGGCTCCAATGGTAGAGCATTCACCCTGAGTTGAAGAGCTCAGGGACAGTGTCCAGGGCCCAGAGTTCAACCCCCATGACCGACAAAAATAACAACAATAACAAACAAACAAAAAAAAAACCCGAAAATGGATTTCAACATAATGAAATGAGTCCCCTCTCAACATTCAGAGAAAGAGGGCTGGGAAGGTGGCTCAGTGGTAGAGCGCTTGCCTTGCATGCCTGAGGCCCTGGGTTCGATTCCCCAGCACCACATAAGCAAAAAGAAAAAAAGCCGGAAGTGGCACTGTGGCTCAAGTGGTAGAGCGCTAGCCTTGAGCTGAAGAGCTGAGGGACAGCGCCCAGGCCCAGAGTTTAGGCCCCATGACCGGACCCAAAAAAAAAAAAAAAAAATTCAGAAAAAGAGGTTTAATTTTCCTTTCTAATTAAAAGGAACAATATTTTTGTGAAAAATGTCTTCAGATATGATTATTCCTTTGCATGTATGTATTTATAGAGGACTATCTATTATCCTCTTGGTTCATAATTGCATGTGTTTAATCATTTCCCAAGTCTAAAGGACTTCCTGCTAGGACTTGAGCGTGGTTAATGAGATTCTTCGTGAGGAAAAACCCAAACACCAAAGATCTGTCTTTTGCTGTGGAAAGCAACAGGAGCCATTTGGTCTGGACGCAATGTCAGACTTCAGTCAGGCAACAGGTGAGTAGACTGGTAAGACTGTAATATGTTGGATCATGGATGCTCCCAGATGTGAAGAATAATCTATTTCCATTTGCACTTTTATAACATCCTTTGAGGACCATACAAAACTACCCATAGAGGCAGAGGGTCGTGAGCAGCCAGTGAGAAACATACTCAAAGTGCATGTGTCTGTCCATCTGTGGGTCAGACATTGCACAGCCCTGAACCAGAGAGACGTCCCTTGAGTTTACCTACCACGAGCTCAGACTACCAGACTACCACCGAAGACTTCATCTAACTGAGGAGTTTGAAGACCATCACATCTGGCTACATTAACAGAGTAACAATGTGGACATTGCCTGCTCTATTAGAAGAGGAAGCAGAGGAGGGGAAGGAAGGACAAAAACAACTTGGAGACAATCTACTTTCCATTTAACTGATATCCCCGATATCCCCGCCCTTCCCCCCCCCCCCACTTACCCCCATTGAACTCACTTAGAGATAGAGAAACCTGAAGGCCCAGCCCAATTGGAGTATCTTCCTAATTAGGGTGAAAATGGGCACAATGAACCATGAGGGGACTGAGGGGGCTTATATGGCATCCATGAAAGAAAATCAACAAATACAAATTTCACAAAATGAAAATTAGCTTTGTAAAGTCTAGGTTGTGCTGGATTGCTGGACTACTCTGCAATTTTTATGAACCTGACCTTTTATCTCAGATGAGTGTGTGTGTGTGTGTGTGTCTGTGTCTGTGTCTGTGTCTGTGTCTGCCTGCATGTACATACACATGTGTTTATGTGTATGTGATACTGGGGCCTGAACTCAGGGCCTGGGCTCTGTCCCTTGGCATTTTTGCTCAAAGCTAGTGTTCTACTATCTGAGCCACAGTTCTACTTCTGGCTTTTTGGTGGCTAATTGGAAATGAGTCTCATGAACTTTCCTGCCCTGGCTGTCTTTTAGCCACAATTCTCAGGTCACAGCCTTCTGAGTAGCTAGGATTAGAGATGTGAGCCACCAGAACCCGGGGACTGGTGACATTTTTGTCCCCCACCTATGCTTCTCTGTAAGATTTTAACAAGCACACTGCCTCTCCCTGCCCGAGGGATTGATAGGAAGCTTTTTCCTGTGGCATGTGCATACATGCATTGTTCTCTCTCCTAGACTTATGGAGTTATTTCAGAACTTGAGCTGAAAATTTTTGTTTGAACACATTTTTTGCATGAGAATGTTTAGGGATTAAAAATTCCAAGTTTACCAGGCACCAGGTGGCTCACGCCTGTAATCCTAGTTACTCAGGAGATCTGAGACACATGGTTCGAAGCTTGCCAAGGCAGAAAGTCCACGTGACAATTATCTCCAGTTAGCCAACCCAAAGCCAGAAGTGAAGCTGTGTGGCTCAAGTGGTTGAGCACCAGCCTTGAATGAAAAAGGATAGCTCCCAGGACCTGATTTTAAGCCTCAGGATCCCTGCACATGCACATGCATGCACACACACACATACACGCATGCACACACATACACACGCATGCACACACACATAAAAAAATTTTTTTTGGTCAGTTGTGGGGCTTGAACTCTGGGCCTGAGCGCTGTCCCTCAACTCTTCAGCTCAATGCTAGCGCTGTGCCACTTGAGCTACACTGCCACTTCTGGTTTTCTGAGTGGTTTATTGGAGATAAGAGTTTCATGGACTTTCCTTCCCGGGCTGGCTTTGAACAGCAATCCTCAGATCTCAGCCTTCTGAGTAGCTAGGATGACAGGCATGAGCCACTGGTGCCTGGCCCAAGCTCATACTTTTTAGTAACTGAAAAACAACATCTATCATTTTTCATATCTAAAATCTGTTGGGGGTCTGGGACTGTAGTACAGTAGTAGAATGCTTAGTGTGAGGGAGGTCCTGGTTTGATTCCTAGTGCTGAAAAATAAAATAAAACCTAATAGAACTATTGTCATCTTACCTTCAACTTGTTTTTCTTCTTTCTTTCTTTTCCTATCTTTTTTTTGGGGGTAGGGGCAGTGGCAGTACTTTGTACTTGCTAGGCAGGTGCTCTACAACTTAACCCGTTCCTTTCTACCTTTTGGTTAAAAAAATAATGTTTTCCTGTGTGTGTGTGTGTGTGTGTGTGTGTGTGTGTGTGTGTGTGTGTGTGTGTGTGTGTGTGTGTGTGTGTGTGCGCTTGCTGGAACCCAGGGCCTGGTACATACCACAAGGGCTCTACCACTGAGCTGCATCTCCTACCCATCTGAAGTTCTTTCTTTTATCTACAAGGGAACGAGTTCTTGTGATAGTCATGAGTCAGAAGAAACACACACATCTCTGCGAGCAGTGACATGATACATCACCCAGCTGCAAAGAGTTCTAGGAATTTTCTTATCTAAGTCATTGTCATGGCCAGTGTTTTTTGGGAGAAGCATTTGCATTTCATGACCATATTAGGGACATCAGAGTTTAATGGTCAGTTTACGTTGACTAAACTTTCAATATCTTAGAATTTAATTTGCTATACAAAGTGACCAGAGAAAGCTACACGTACTAACACATAAGAACAACTTGGGCTGGCCTGGGTGATGAGTCATTCCTGTTCAGCTGAAGAATGCATCTGTATTGTCTTATTTTTGTTTTGAAAGATCTCTGAACTACCCAAGAGAGTGACAACAAGCTCAGCCAGGAGTCGCGCTGCTGGCTGCATAGGGAGATAGGCAAAGACCAGGGAAGGTTAAAAAAGGTCTAGGGTTATGCAATTTATTTATCTGTTTGTTTATTTTTAATTTTTCTGTCAGTCCGGGGGTTGAACTCTGGGCCTGGGCACTGTCTCTCAGCGTCTTTTGCTCCGGGCTAGTGTTGTACCACTTTGAACCACGGCTCCACTTCTGGTTTTCTGATGGTTAATTGGAAATAAGAGTCTCATGTCCTTTCCTGCCAGGGCTGGCTGGCTTGAAACCACTCTCCTCAGATCTCAGCCTCCTGAGTAGCTAAGATTACAAGTGTGAGCCATCAGCACCTAGCCACAATATGCAATTTAAATGAAGTCAAACCAAAGAGATTTTTTTCTTCTTTTTTTTTTTTTTTGTCAGTTTGGGAGCTTGAACTCTGGGCCTGGGCGCTGGCCCTGAGCTCTTCAGCTCAAGGCAAACACTCTACCACTTGAGCCACAGCACCACTTCCAGTTTTCTGGTGGTTAATTGGAGCTAAGAGTCTCACAGACTTTGTTGCCCAGGCTAGCTTTGAACCGCAATCCTCAGATCTCAGCCTCCTGAATAGCTAGGATTATAGGTGTGTGCCACTGGTGCCCCTTTTAAGCTAAGAGAATTTTTGTGCCCCAGAGCAGTAAAGAACCTGAAGGGAGGAGGGAGAGAGAAAATAGGAGAAAATGAGAGAGCGGTAACACTGTTCAAAAAGAAATGTACTCATTACCTGACTTATGAAACTGTAACCTCGCTGTGCATCGTCTTTGCAGTAAAAAAAAAAAAAAAAAAAAAAAATTTAAAAAGAATTTGAAGAGACTCCAACCGACTTCAATGATTATCCACTCAAAGCATGAGTTCCTACGAATGTTTAAAGGGGAAGCTTTGTATGTATCAATGAACTAGGGTGTGTGTGTGTGTGTGTGTGTGTGTGTGTGTGTGTGTGTGTGTGTGTGTGTGTGTGTGTTTAAAGTTGGTACTGGAACTTGAACTCAGGATAAGGATTCTCTCCCTTAGATTTTTTTCACTCAAGGTTAGTGTTCTGCCACTTGAGCCATGGCTCAATTTCTAGCTTTTTTGGTGGTTAAGTGGAGATAAGAGTCTTAAGGTCTTTCCTGGCTTTGAATCATGATCCTCAGATCTCAGCTTCCTGAGTAGCTAGCATCATAGGCATAAGCCACTAATGAACTAGTTGTAGCCAGGAATTGAACCTAGGTTGGATAAAGGGTGGGATCTTAAATGCTAGAGCATAGAAAATGGTCTTAATTTGCCTGGTGTCCTTCTCTTTCCTATAATTCAAATATCTAAAATTAGCAGCAGGGAACTGGCAGCTTATACTTGTAATCCTAGCTACTCAAGATGCAAAGATCAGGAGCATCAAGGTTCAAAGCCAGCCCTGGCAGCAAAGTCTGAGACTCCATTTCCAGCTAGCCAGCAAAACATCAGTCTGAAGGCATAACTCAAATAGTAGAACACTAGCTGAGCAAGCAAGCCAGCTAGCTGAGTAAGAGTGTACAGCCTTGAGATGAAGCTCCAGGAAAAAAAAAAAAAAAAGACTGGAAAAGATATTTTGAAAGTCGTTTTGTCCAGAAATGTAGAAACATCTAGTCGGCTAGTGGTTGGTCTTTTCCTCTGGGACGTTTTTTCTCACAGTGACACTGCTGAGGCAGAGAAAAGGGTGGGAATCACAAGGCTCCATGAAATCAACTTCAAAAGCTTGTGGTAGACTCCGAATAGACTTTTCTAGCTGAATAGTCACCAACTATAGATTTCTCAGGAAAAAAATTTTCTACAATTTTTCTTTTCCCAGTACTGAGGGTAGAGTCCAGGACCTCCCACCTACGAGGCTAGCATTCCTCCAGTGACCCATATTCCCAACTCGTTTTATTTATTTTTTGAGACAACTTTGCTCTATAGCCTAGATAGGGCTCAAACTCTGGATCCTCCTGCTTGAGTCTCTCGAGTGCTGGGATTATATGTATGAACTACCATGCCTGATTCTCTACAAGCTTTTCAAAATATTTTTCCATTTTTACTTTACTGGGTGAAAATGAAGCAATACTCCCTTGAATCTAATGGCAACCATTTAGAAACAGTCCAGGAGTCTTCCAAAATGAACAAATATCTCCTTCTATTTAAAGAATCAGCCTTCTAGTTGATTAAGAAACTGCTCAGGCAGGTATGCTGAGAACTGTGTGGTTTTGGATTTGTTGCTTGACCTCTTCCCAGGTTTCCATGAAGCTAATGTTTTTCCTCTTACCAACTTAAGATGGTGCCTTGGGGACATGAGGGGGGCGGGGTGGGGGGAGGAATGTTGCAAAGTCCAGAGCAGTTTTTCTTTTAATGCTTCCAGAAAAGCCAAGTTTAAAAAAAAAAAAACAAACAACCCCATCTCTTTTGTGAAATGTAGCTGCCATATAAGAGATACAAGGCACACAGTCTTCTTGGCTCAGGGAGAAAAATATCTGTCTGTATAATTCAAAAGCTAAGGTGAAGGAACACCATGGAAGATTTTAAGCCAGGAAGCAGTGTGCCCTTTTAAGAACTGCGTTTTTCTGATATCTCCAAAAAGAAAATTCAGTCAACACAACAGTGTTTTATTGCAGTCTCCTGATGTTTGTCCTATGAGAGCAAGTGAGATAGAGCTCTCTTGCAGGGTGCTTTGTTTACGCGAATAATTGTAGGCTTCTAGATGTTTCTTTGCCTGTGTCTTTGGTCTAATCCCCAAACAGACAGTATGTACATATTTCCTGCCCCTGTATGATCTCTTGAGAATACTGACAGGCACATTTGTGTGCTGGAATGCCGGCTCTGGCTCACATGAACCACATGTACAAAATACTTTTAGCACACACAGCTGCCTGAGGATCCGTTTGCCAAGCTGCATGTGAAGGCCCTATTTGAATGACCCACTATTAAATGGACAAATGGAGTCACAAGGCAGGCTGGGATTCGTGTGTGTGTGTGTGTGTGTGTGTGTGTGTGTGTGTGTGTGTGTGTGTGTGTGTGCGCGCGTGCTGGGCTTGAATTCAGTGGCTTGTATTCTTGCTTGACTTTTTTTTTTCTGTGCCACTAGACT